CATCCCCAACAATAAAAAAAATCTCTCCTCCTCCTTCCTCCCTGTGATTATCACCTCCCTGGCCCTTCTTATCTATGTATTCCTATCTGTTCAGCTTTCCCTCTATGTGAATGCTACCTCTCTGATGTCTCATGGCTGATTGACGTAAGGGGTACATCTCCCTGGGGTAGGTTTTCTGAATGTAGGTCTTTCTCACCTGTTGGGCTGAGAGCCAATCTATGGAAGTGAGTCCATTTCTAGTTCTGAAGGATAACCTGAGGCCATAGTCTCAGGGGTTCACCAGTCTCAATCTGACCAATAACTGTGATCATTTTTGTGTTTGTATTTTGTTCCACATTTTTCCTCCCACTATAACCAAGGTTTCCAATTTTGATCCCTTTCTGAGTGGTTGGCATTGGTAAGTGGGTAACATCTAGTTCTTCTAATCTCAGGGTTCTGAAGGCTGAGGTCCTCATGGTACCACATCTTTGGATTAATTGTTTCCAGATGACTTTGATTTTCTTCACTCTTCTATGCTCAAGATTAGAGGAGACCAACAATAGTTGCATCTTAGATGACCATTTGAAAGCTTTTAAGACCCCAGTCACTACTTACCAAAGTAAGATGAAGAACAAGATTTTTATGTACTATGTTGTGCCAATTGAACACAATGTACCCCAAGACTATGGTCCCAAGCCCACAGGCTCAGTGATTCTCTCTCTCAAGGTATTTGGTTGTCTCTGAGAAGCTGTTCCAATCCTATATGCTGTTATTTCTGTAATGTATGTGTATAACTTTTTAGCACAAGTACATATGTAAGATTATCTTCAGTCAAATCTATCCTTGGTCTTGGGTATATTCTTGTTCACCTACCCCCACCTGATCTTCTCACCTGTCTATGCATTTACCCATAGCTTAGTGTTTGGTGCCAGTGGTAATGCAGTATTGTGTTTGTAACAGTATTTGTCTCTGTTGTCTATATCTTTTGTGCACGTTTCTTTGTGAGATGCAACACTCTTAATCAGATAATAGGTTTGTTGTTATGTAAGAGAAGTTTCCCTGGCATGGGGCCTATATCACCTTTCATCTTACTAGAAATAAAAGGAGAGAGAGAGGTGAGGAGAAGGAGAGAAGGAGACCTCCTGCCACCAAAAAGGAAGAGCTGGAAGTTGATTGTGTCCTTTGGATCCAGGGTCCTTGCACTGAGAAACTCCTAGACCCAGTGGAATATTGATGACAACGACCTTCCCCCAGA